ATAATGTTGTCTAAACATTGCAGAAACGTGCGTGCTCGTCAATCTAGCAGTGGATTGATATTCGCGAATCTTCTGCTGGTAGACACAAGACCAGCATTCACGGTTTCCGAATGTGCCGCTTTTGGTATGAAATAAAAGTTAGCCTATTTTGTTTAGAAATTGTGTCCGAATGGTTGAATGGGTGGGTTTGGGCCAAGACTGATTTAGACCAGACCAATTTTAGCCCTTCCCACTCCAAATTCGGTCAAAATTTTGATATAATATGCAAGGAAAACTTTTCACATCCACTCTCTGAGACAATGCATGGTCTTCAGGACGGTGCAAGCATGGTCTCCATCCTGCGGAAACCACTGCTGTTTGATGGTGTCGGCACAGCTGCGCTGCGGCGAGCGGAAGAACCACTGGAGGATCCTCGACCACCTCTCTTGGTTTATCGTCACAGAATTTCCGCTATCGTCCTCAGGACCTCGAAGGACAGGGAGCCAAGATATGCATGCCCTGTACGCACATTACACTTTTTTCTGGCGTTTTGCCGGTTGCGACGAAACTAGAGTTCAGAGATAGGGCAAGATGATAGGGTCTTCTTAGGGCCGAAAACTGAGCGGTATTTACGCTTTGTTCCAATGACGGACCCTCTCTTCGAGTCGAAATTCGACCACTTCAGTTTTCTGCTTACCTAGTGTTCGGTGTAGTCATCATCAAAAAGAGATGATGATGTAGTCATCAAACTATGAATGAGTTCAGGGATAGGGCAAGATGATAGGGTCTTCTTAGGGCCAAAACTGAGCGGTATTTACGCTTTATTCCAATGACGGACCCTCTCTTCGAGTCGAAATTCGACCACTTCAGTTTTCTGCTTACCTATGTAGGTACTGTTCGGTGTAGTCATCATCTCTTCCTCGCAACATCATCATCATGACGACTACATCATCATCTCTTTCATCTTACATCATTCATCATCATCCTTCCTCGCTGCATGAATGTTGGGAGGCGTCACCCCCTCGGCTCTTAAGTTGGGGGCAATCGCCCTCGCTCCCCCCCCCCCTGTTCCCGGGTCTATGAGCTGATTGGCAAGGCGATAAACGAGCTGATTGGCGTTTCCACCCGAGCTTGAGCATGATAGGGACTGTTCCAGTGGTTGCTCAAACCTTCTCTAAGCTCTTATAGCCAGTGCAGGCTTTCAATACCATTAGCGTCGCCACGGGGGGGGGGGGGGCAAGCGGGGCAGTTTGCCTCCCCCAATCTCCGACCGAGTACCCCCTGAGATGGATGCAGATCCGATGAGATTTTGGAGTTGGCAAAAAATGGGGGTAGTTTTCGAGAATGGCTGTAAACTCCACACCAACTTTGAAAACGTTTCTACACCCATGCTGACAACACTATTGCCGGCTGGGTCATTTATGACCCAAGGATATTTATCGAGGAAAAAAAGTTATCCGATTGCGACAAGAAGGGCAAAAATATACATCATGTCTTTTTCAGGCAAATTTAGATGCCAGGTGGACGATCATTCAATAGATAGTAAAGTGCAAACATAACATAATATTACTTTTTGGGACGGCGCGCCATTGCCAGTGACCGGCGGCTGTGCAGTCCCGTCGTCTTTGGCTCCAGAAACTTCAGTGGACGAGCTCACACGAGTTTTATGCGGCTCCGACGCTCGTCGCTGAACCCACAAATCCAACAAAACACACGCACAAGTTCCTCAAAGTGCCACTTGCCTCCATTTAGAAAAAAATGTTAAGATGTTGCTTTTGGGTCATATATGACCCAAGCGGCATTAATGGGTTAAGCGTTACTAGGAAGCACAGTCGATCGCCTGGAGATACACTGTGCCGCACGACACCAGCGGTATAAGAATGTCAAGCTACCGATAGATGGCAGGGGAGACGAGCGCCTGAAGATATACTGTGCCGCACGACACCAGCGGTATAAGAATGTCAAGCTACCGATAGATGGCAGGGGAGACGAGCGCCTGAAGATATACTGTGCCGCACGACGCCAGTGGTATTAGAATGTCAAGCTGCCGATAGATGGCAGAGGAGTCGAGCGCCTGAAGATATACTGTGCCGCACGACACTAGCGGTATTCGAGTGTCAAGCTGCCGATAGATGGCAGGGGAGTCGAGCGCCTGAAGATATACTGTGCCGCACGACACTAGCGGTATTCGAGTGTCAAGCTGCCGATAGATGGCAGGGGAGTCGAGCGCCTGAAGACATACTGTGCCGCACGACACTAGCGGTGTTTGGGCGCGCGTTTAGTGCCCTGGGCGCGCGGTGAGCGTCACGTTATTCGTGAATCAAACAACAAACAGCATCTCTAGCTTATCAGTTATCTATAACCAAGGAAGAATACAAAGTAACGACGGAAAGACAGTCCGTCCGTTGGAAGACAGAGGCAAAGACAATCTTTAGAAATAGGCGTATAAAGCGCATTTACTCAGTGCAGGCAGCACAAGCCTCTAATCAGAGGTCGACCTTGGGCCGAGTTAAGCGAGGAGCTGACCGCAATCAGCGAAACAATTTCATGAAATGCGGCGGCGCAAATGAAGTGGAAGTTAAGATAAATGAGAGGAGTTGGCTCTGAGGATAATAGCAGTGCCAAAAACAGACACACTGACGACGCGGTCGGGGCGGTTCAACATGCAGATGGGCGAACACAAATGCATAAAAGAATATTCGAATATCAGGACTTATGCAGCTAATGCGTTCGTTATGCCTATCTTATGCGTCATGATGCGTGTTTATGAAAGCAAACACACACTTATGGATTTTTCAAAAAGCAAAAATTTTAGAAATAATGGGGTTTTCAAATAATTATGTCTAGAAATGTAGGTGTCGACGGAGCAACATTTCTTATAGCCTTTGCAAAAACAGTGAGGAACCACAATATAATAATGCACATTGAAGCTCAAACAACATTCGCTATAACTTTACATGTTAAGACCTTTCCACTTATTTCGACATGGCGCCTGCAACAGAGGCAGACGTGGATATTAATAAGGGTGCGCGCTGTTTGAGCGTCCTAAACGGTACGTTTAATTAAATCCGTCCCTTGTCACATTACAGCACACCACCTCGGCCGCTGTTCCCATACACTATTGTCTCTGGTGGCAATCTCCTTATGGCTCAGTTTGTTACCAACGTGCAGCTGCTCCCAGACAGGTCTTATGGATTTAGTAGATAATAACTTAGACTATCTCGTTTAAAGTTTAAAGAAGGAAGTTACATGATGTCAAAAACAAATGCGTCCCTGAAGTCCTAACAATTTTATCAACATATTTGCATCGTTCTTTTAACCCGCGCCCTGATGGGGGGGGCCATTTTGGCCCCCCCCCCCTGTGGTTTTTCTTAAATAGCGAGAAAACGGCGGCGCGCAGCGCCGCCAAATTTTGGGTACCTTACTGGACATCAATTTGACACCTTCACACAAAATTTCAAGTCACAGGTCACCTCAGGTCAGGAGTTATTGAGGTCAAACTGAGGTCATGTTCGAGTAAAAATGAGCAAAAAACATGACATCTTGAAACGCTCACCAATTCTACAGTTAACAAGCAATTTTAAAGTTCTTTATGTGGTTGTGTAGAGAAAAGGCGGCGCTACAAAACTGCTATCTCGGATTTTCGAAATTTTTGGATTTTGACCCCCAAAAATCAAAAAAATTGATTTTTTTAGAAAAACTCAAAATATTTAAAAAAAATTTTCGAATTTCAAAAAAAAACGGAATATATGTGATAGTCCCTGCGCTCTTCGATATACATACCAAATTTTAGATCGATACCTCTTTTTTTGGCCAAGTTATAGCGAAAAAACTGTTAAAAATTGATGACGTCAAATTTTTGAACTCAATTTTTAGCAATTCTAGACCTCGTAGCGCAAAACGGAGACCACCATTGAACTCCCCGTGACGAGCTGCATCGAATCGATACCCATTTTATGCAAAGATATCAACTTTGAAATTTGACCTAATTTGACCTGACCTTGACCTGACCTTGACCTGACCTTGACCAAAACGTGACCTAAGCTGGCCCTAAAGTCTGTCTGACCCACATAATCGCATTTGTCATGTAAAATGGACCATAAAACATGTATCACACGACACTTTCATATTGTGACCCCCCAGTGACCTGACCTCTGTGACCTGACCTGGTATCAGTGACCTCAAATAGCAAAATATGTGTTTGAAGAACATTTCCCCATCGATGATTTTCAATGAAATGCATTTTACACGATTTTACAACGCATTTCTTGAAATGCCTGTAAACGGTGAAAATTCGACCTTTGACCTGACCTGTGACGTCATCGGTTTGACCGAGGTCAATGAAATTGGGTCACAAGGTAGTTCCCCGTTGGGGCTATCCAACACCGTTTACCGCTTGTCGCTATGTTGCGTGGTTCTCGAGATCTGAGGGGGGGGCCAAAATGGCCCCCCCCCCCATCAGACCGCGTTGCTCGGCAGACCCCATCTGGGCGCGGGTTAATTAATTCCATCCCCTCTCTCCCTGCCCCTCTCTCCTTTTCTCTCACAGCTCTCAATAACAAAGCACAGGCCTCTTTGCTCTTTCCCCTCCGGAATGGAAGGAGACCCTGTCTATGGAGCGGGCCGCCGACAATGCTGTCATTTTCCCCTGTAGGTATCAGAGAAACGAGCTCTGTCAGTTCTCGTCAAGTGCTACCAGCGGAGGCCGTCCTCATTGTCTTCATAGTTCATAGGCCGAGCACGAGAGTTCTCCACCGCCTCCGGAGGATAGTTCGGCGGCGTCATGAAAAGTACGAGCTGAAAGGCGGCCATATCAGCGACCGGGCTGAGTGGACGCTGCATTTTAGCAGAGAGACTGGATGTTAAGTCATGTATAAGATAGGTATGAGAGTGCTATCCGCAGTTGACAGAACTGGTGGGGCAGTTGGCAAGCCATCCGTTCGGGGTTCAGACGGAGCCGGGTTGGATTCCCGGCGTCGGAGTTCGGCGAGTCTCCGTGACGAGCCCGACCCTACACCCACCTTCCAAGCACAAGTCGGCGCATCCAGTGGGGCACCTCCTTTTTGCCGGGCCCGCGGTAGTGCAGGTTCAGCACCACCACGGTCATGATGATGGACACGCTGGTGATGGCCATCACAGCCGTCAGGTAGATCCCTGCCGGCGAGCAGTGGATTGAGTCAGCTCAGCGAGCATGGGCTGCGGGCGACGGCGACTGGTGGGGGAATATCAATTCAACAGGTTCAATAGGCTGAGCGAAACATGGCCACGAGTTCACGACGATGTTAATAAGTTTTAAAGCAAATGTCAATTGAGACTGAGGAGTGGGGAGATCCCAATCGATTCCTCTACGACGATGACTGCCAAAAAAGTAATGTGGTGTGTAGTCTACAAAAGCTGCTTTAAGTCAGAGCAACGAAAAAAGAAAAAGACACTGCTATTGACCGATGCAATTCAAAAAGCATTTATACCATCGGCATATGGAACAAGTAGGTGAGTCAATGACTCTTCCTAAATGAACGTTCCTTTTATTCCCTTTTAACCCTATTCCTGGCGGGGGGGCCTCAGGAGCCCCCCTCCCTGAGGTTTTTTGGTTATTTCTCCCAAACGCGTTGAGCTAGGAAGCTCAAATTTTCTGACTTTTCCTAAAAGGCTTCTACGCAACATGTCTGAAAATTTTGAGTTGATCTGACCTCAGGTCAGGTCACCAGAGGCGGTTTGGTGACCCTTCCTCAGAAAAGTTTACAATCACGCCAGAGCTAGAGTTTTTGACCGATCAATTTCTTCTCTTCAGGGTTTAGTTAGGGTACCAGTATGTGCAATTTGTATATCTCGGAATTTTGATATCGGTGACCTAAGGTCAGGTCAATTTCGCGACCTCCCCATTATAAGTCAATGGGGGAAAAATCAACTCCCTGTTTTTACCACTAAAACGGGTCGGAATGGCCCCATATACCATACATGACTTCATATACGATCAACCTTCACTACCTTGAGGTCTGTTTTGCTGTTGGGCAGCTGTGAGGTCATGTGACGTCATCAAAGGTCACCAAAGGTTTTTGGCCAATAACTCCGTACAGGAACAAGATACAGACGCGTGGATGGTCTCATTGTGTTCAGCTCGTCAAGACGCATCGAATGATATACATGATGACCTCGAGGTCACGTGACCTGAGGTCAACCTTTGACCTTGACCTTTCGAGGTCAACATATATATCATTCGATGCGGATTGACGAGAGGATCACGATGATGCCCTTAGTTTGTTCCTATCTTGACTAATTCGAAAGTTATTCGAGAAAAACTCTCTCCATATCTAGCGCCGCCATTTTGACTTTTTCGACCCCTGTGACGTCATCTTTGACCTGACCTGAAAATGACCTTAGTAAAAATTGTAGATCTTGGCCGTGCGTATCCGATGCCGTTTACCGCTTGTCGCTATCTTGCTTCGTTCTCGAGATCTCAGGGGGGGCCGAATCGGCCCCCCCCCCCCCCCGCCAGTTTCTTGTCCCGGCGGAGCCCGCCAGGAATAGGGTTAATATCCGTCCATTCCCACAGTCACAAAAGGCGTCCGTTCCCTGGCACTGGTTTTCAATAAACCCAGTCGTATTACCAGCACCACAGTCACGCATGTAGAGCCGGAAATGCTGGCGCCTACTTGGACACGTCCCGTGCCAAAGGCGACAGGGCTCGGCTCGGCCAATGGCACACGCAGTCACTGGGTCAGGGTACGTGGCATTGCAGGGGTTCGTTCTGAACAAAAGTGGTCTTGACCAAAAAGTGTGATATGCATTGTAACAAAATATTCAAAAATGTGTTTCTTATTTTGTTGGCTAAGCAGCATTTATAAAACACACACATATTGTTGATTATTTCGACATCAAGATGTAAAGATATTCTATCAATCGAAATATAGATAACATGATTCATGCTATTTATGGTCGAAGCTTTAATTGCTGGTGAAGTCTGCATTACTTAGGAATGAAAGACTAACCCGCAGAAGTTGCAGCGCTTTGTGTAGCAAACGGATACTCATGGACGCAAGAGGTTCCGACAGCATGTTCAGTTGGGCATTTCAATAGAGTGTTATATTGCCACGTTTTACATTGCAGATTGTCGAGACTTAATATTTTTATATGACGTCTCTTTGTTTGCTACTCTATGCCTGATATGAGCCACCTTTGAGCTCGTAATTCAACAAAATGCGAAAACTATCTGCGAAACTGCCCAGTTCGACCATTCTTCATCCCATTCCAAGATATAGTGACAGCCAGTCTCTGGCTTCGATACGGCTCCTGACAGCTAATAAATAAATTTAATTGGATGACAGAAATTTAAACAGCCATCCAAACATCAGGCTATTGGGATTAACACAGGACCGTATGCTGGATGTCCAGCGCCGCTGAATGAGCTTTCGATATAGGTTGTCGGAGGCAAAGTTATGGAAGTGATATCTCACCGCATTTGTCTCAATGATTCAAAAGAGTGGAACGCCTATTGGCTGAACTGGTATGTTCATTGCTCATGTATTTCATTGGCCTATAGAATGTGCCATTAAGCGGCCATCTGCAGGCATCCGATGCACAAAGCACATGAATGGCGAGAAGAGCAAATTAAATATCAGGTAAAAATATCGCTAAAATGTTCGATGCTTGGCTTTCATAAATATACTCTGTATCGCGGCAATGTCTTAGCATTGTTACAATTCTATAAAAGCAAAAAAAAAAGTTTTAGTACTTCATTTGGAAGCCAAAGCTGGTGTCCCCATTCCACTCTGATGTTTATCTAACCATTCCCTGACCCGTTGTCCCGTGGCCCGTCTCCCGCCACTCTCTGACCCGTGTCAAGGCCACCTCGTGACCCGTGTCGTTACCCCTGACCCGTGTATAACTACCCCCTGTCCCGTGTCGTTACCCCCTGACCCGTGTCGTTACCCCCTGACCGGTGTATAACTACCCCCTGACCCGTGTCGTTGTCCCGTGATCCGTCTCCTGCTACTCCCTGACCCGTGTCTAACTACCCCCTGACCCGTGCCCGCCCTGGTCTCCGGTCGGTCGCCGCCCGCGCCACATCCATTAGTGACCCCGCCGACCCGGTCCGACACCCTCCCCACACCCCGCTGCTGACGGTGGCGGCACGGACACGTCTCCATTCCCTCAGATGGGCGGCCGTAACCACACCAGTTACGACCAGTGATGCGCGATGTGGCGTCCTCGCGACCCTCGTGGATGTTTTATGACGCTGACAGTGAATCAAAGCCCGCAGTTCGAGGTCCACCGATCAGTGTGCGTGTGAACGTCAGAGGTTCCATCGGATATCGGTTTACAATGCTTGACAGTAAAATCTGTCACGACTGAAGGTCAAATGGGCATCAGCAGCTCAATTTCTGAGCACAATAGCGCCGACACAGGAACATTTCCGATTTTTGCGATTGAATTTATCATAGCTAGTCTGGTGGGAAATTCTGCAGTAAAATGGTATTTAGAGGCCAAGTTCGAGAGCAATCAAAGTTACTTTCAGAAATGGCGAAGAAATTGGCAATACAAATACAAACTTGGCAGTAAAATACGACACATATAAATTTCCCGCACGACATGAAATCTCATGAGCCCAATGTGAGTTAAATTTCCCTAGCCAGTGATTTGTCAACCGTAACGGCACACATGTATTTATGACTAATCCGAACCCACAGTAGAAATCAAATTGCTTTAAAATATTTCATTAGGTGTACAAGCTATGGCAGAGGCAACGAAATGGTGCTTGTGTCGATGGGTGTGATCACTAATTCAATAACGAATTTCGAATTCAAAAGCATCGAATTTAGCATTCCATTTCAAAATGTCACATAGGTTCTGTGTGTTAATTATCACTCACAAAATCATGCTCTTTTCCTATACGACGGGTTTCGTTTTTTTCGACCACGTGCTTAACAGGGTAATATTTTTAGACCACTGGACCATTTGGCTTTACTAAGCTTCGTCGGCTGAAACACCGTGGGACCCGGCGAAATAACACTGTTCTGCGGTTCACTTATCGCAATGGTCTAGGAGAAAACTGCGCTGTCGACACGGTTTTAGTAAAGACCTCCGTGGCTTATACAACTTTGGTAATATCGCCGCCGAGCCTCAGCCGGGAAGCGGGAGGAAGGGCACCGAGTTGACGATTCTAACCTTCAGCAAGATAAATTTGGCAGAATAAAATGGTGGCAGGTGTTATATTAACCCTCTCATGTGTAGGGAGGGTCGGATGGATCCCCCATGTTTTTTTTTCGCAAATAACTCGCGCAAAAAGTGGCCGATCGCAACGAAACTTTCAGTACTCTCGGGTAAACCGATTTTACACTTACTCTGAAAATTTCATGACCCTGACCCAAGTGACCGTTGACCTGTGAACTATTTCTCGAGGCCATGTTTGGCCGGAATCGAGATTCGGCGTATATCGGCTCGCATTAGCCGCGCGTTTGCAAGCTTTTTGTGGTTTCAAACGTTCAAACATGTGATTTGATGTTGCTCCCATGCAATAGGGTGGATGTCAAGATCACCTGAAGGTCAGGTCAGGTCATTGACCTTTGGTGACCTCGGTTCACTTTTTCCAGCTTTACATGTTTCTAAGCTAGTTTTTGGAGCTGAATTTGAATTTAGAAACCATTTGAACATTTCCGAAGTAGTTTTGGTGCCTTCATAACATGTTACGAAGCTGTCAGAGGCGGTTGACACGTATTACGAATACCCGTCACAGCCCCTACCGGTTGACCTGACCTGACCTGACCCGACCTTGTCTAAATACTTAAAGACATCATCTGTGACAAAAATAACACGATATTCGTGATCAGCACCCCGAAAACCCCATAGCAGCCACACTTTACGACTTTCATTGGCCTGACCTGGAAGGACAACCAATGACCTAGGACCTTAACCCGTGCCCCAGTGGCGGTCTCAGCCAACTTCGCCCTAGTGGGGGGGGGGGGGGGGGCATATGTTACCACCCGCCTCTAACTCAAAAACTAAGAGGGCTAAAAAGACGCGGTAAAAAGCAGTCGATAGCTCTCAATGCGTACGTTTGAAAGTATTTCAGTCATTTTTCATCTTGGAGCAATATTGGGGTCACTGGAGGTCATCAAAGGTCAAAATTTGCCCAATGTCATTATACTTTTCAGAAAACATGCATTTATCTCAGGAACTATGATAGCTAGAAAGACGCATGGAAAGCAATCGATAGCTTATGAACTCTTCTTTTGATAAGGTCATCATCAAAATTGACCTCAGGTCAACGGTTTAGCCTCCCGAGGGCAAAAACTAAAAAAATAGCTGTTTTTTCGCAAAGTGTTTTTCGACAATAACTTTTGACTAAAAAAAAACACGACATTTCTATTGCCAGAATCGTGTTCCTCTCGACAAGACGCGTCGAATGAACTATAATTTGACCTTGAAAGGTCAACTTGAAAATTTGACCTCAGGTCAAGGTCATGACCTGACCGAAAAAGGTCATGTTGCATATCAATCGATGCGTCTCAACAAGATAAACACAATGAGACCATCCCCAGCGTCCTATCTCTTTCCAATCGAGAGTTATTGGCAAAAATCTGTTTGTAGCCTCAAATGACCTCGGATGACCTTTCTAGAGGCTAATTGCAAAAAAGACACCTTGGTCGTCACGGGTGGTCCAAATCATTGTAATTCTGAAATATTTGGACTGTTCCTATGCGTACACACGGATCTAGAGGCATTTTCATTTTTCTCCATTGACTTATAATGGTAAGGTCACGCCACTGACCTGACCTTAGGTCACGGATATAAAAAATCCGAGATATACAAATTGTAGGCACCCATAACATCATGCAATTCACCAAGTTTTAAACCTTTCTGACAAACACTGCAGGCTGGACATGATTGCAAACTTTTTTTAGGCCTGGTCAGTTAACTTGACCTGGTGACCTGACCTGACATGACCTGGGGTCAAAAATTTCACACATTGTCCAAAATTGATGTACATACAAAAAGCTATATGCTAAGCGGCACGGCGCTACGCGCCGCGGTTTTTATTTATAAGCAAAAAACGCGACAGGGTGGTAACATGCCCCCCCCCCCCCACTGGGGCGAAGGTTAACATTGGGTATCATCGGCTTTCTCTCGCCACTGGCAACACGCTCGTTTTTCCGCGAAGCTCTACGTCCATCAGGGGCCAAACGGCAAGCGGTGTCCAACCGACCCCCCCTTCCCCCTACACGTTAGAAGCTGGCAAACGCTGCACACATGCGAGGGTTAAGGACACTACCTCCCACCACCTAGATTCAATTTATTTTGGTTTGTGGCTCCCTTTACGTCAAGGGTAATTTGATCTGAAATACGACTCGACACCCACTTTTGGCATATCGCGAGAGCATGTAATAATCAAAGGACGTTGGGCTGTTCATCGGAGCCCTTTCTACAATAGCGTGAAAGTGCAATCGGCTTAGAACACAACAAAGACGTAGTCACTTCAAAGTTATATGTTACTTATTCGCACAAGATTGTAAGACCTTACAACGATATAATTATGGAACATGACCAAGAACAGGATGCGGATGAAACAGGATATCTGAGCATCCTATTCGCATCGACTCATTTGCATCCGACAGTGCCGGGCCCTGGAACATGAGCATTGCACAATACCAAAGTGAGACGACATGAGGCATGAATATTTTAACCTAAACAGCTTAACCAGTCCGGATAGGCAGCTCAAGGTAGGAACTTTACTGTTGATACAAGTTCTGAAGGATAGCACCGTCAACTCCTGATAGACTAAATTAACGCCAAAAAATTGGATATTGTGCGAGCCGTGCATTGAACGTAGCTGTCGCATTTTCAAAGCCTGGCGTTTTGCTGGTCCCCATTTTATGGTTTTTATCACATCGATCGATATCCTAGGAATGAAATGGCATAGCGTGTAGCAAGCAACCCGAGGTTATTGGCATATATTGACACCAAAATGATTTAAGTAACTAAAGAGGCATGTCCAATCACATTCTCTATACCTTCTGGGATTCCTGTCATGAATCATGATGACACTAAATTACATAACTATGGCATTAATTGTGTGCTCATATTTCGGCGACTTTCATCTAATGGCTTTGCTCCCAGATCAGTTCGGGCCCTATCTGGATCGTCAAGTAATGGCACTTTCCTCGGCTCAAATTTTCGTACGCTGTGCCTCAACTATGAGAGAAATTAAAGACGTCGCGCAGGCGTGCGTAGCCATCTTATATGTGAGAGGCATGCCACATTGACATACCCGATATGCGATACTGCGAACCTATAGAACTGAACAAAATCCCAGCAGCCATTCCGTGGATTTCCCGGATCTGCCCCAAAAGCTTGGCTTACCCCGAACGATCACGATGGGAATTTTAAGCATGTTTGAACGATCTGGCTGGAGTGGACTGCTTCGCGGGACGACTCTCACGGCACCATTTCTATAGTTAGCCCTGAAACTGACCCTGTGCCGTGGCGCTGAACACCGTGGGCGGACCACTGAGCTGCAGCGGCCGACCCAGCTCCGATCGGAGCGGCCACCCGCTCAGACATTCATGAGCCCTATCTCATCGACCATGAGATCCGTGAGTCACGGTGCCAGATGATGCATCGGTACTGATTACGCGATGATTTAACGGCGCATTGGTCTACCATCTGGACACAAATGAGGCGCAGCGTAGGCTGACGAACACGATTGGAAATCAGGATTATGGAGGAAGGCGCCGCGCCGGAGGCTGGCGCGAGGGGCCCACTTGGCCTACAAACTTTGGTAATAATTCTAGCCAAAGGAGCCGTTGGAGTTAGTGGATACTTGTGCGATCGGTAGCAGTTCAGACTGTCGACAGTTATAGGCGACTGGGAAGTTGGAAGCCATAATCTCTGACGCCCGACAGACCGCGCTCCAAAGGCATAAAGACGCCCGACGTCGACATTTACTGAAAGACGGGAAGTGTTATTTTTCCCGAGATGAAGGTAAATACTAAAACGTTTCTTTCCTATAAAACCAGGAGAATGTAATTTGAAGCATGTTACTAATTGATTTTTTCAAGTGGATGTAATGTGTCATTAACGAAATGTTAAAGAATGTTATTGATAATGTCATACCATTTTATAAGCACACAATGCCGCGTAGCTCAACTGTTTCTGCATGTTTTTGTCGCCTCGCAGGCCGGGACGGTTCCGTCTGCCCGCGGCCGTTCGGGCGTTCGCCGCCGCCGCGCAGTCGACTGCCGCTCTCCCAGCAGCAGCAGCGGCCTGCCCAGCCGGCCGTGGCTCCATCCATCGGCCCCAACTGCCGGCCAGTCTGACACCGGCGTCACACCAACAGCGTGTATCTCTCGGCTGCGTCACTCAGCCGGCCCGGGCGGAGATGGCTCTCAGAAAATACCGCCGCCGGCGCTGTCACCGACTACTCGGCCGGCCGCCCTGAATCGACCCCGGCCGGCCGGCCGCGACACCGTGTTCCCAATGTCGTGATCTGGGGTCTAAAAGCGTCCCTGTGTCCGGAGATGTAGAGCTGCTGTCCTGTTGGACAGTGCCCGGCGCGCCCGCGATACAAAGATAAGTAATGCAGCTATCAACTCCAGCCTCCGTATAGTTTTCCTATCAATTTTCCACTCAGCCATAAAACGCAGCTAGATTCTGTTGGAGGCTTTTAACCAGCCACGCTCCGATGATTTAAGGCTAGCGCTGTTTTCGGCTTGAAGGCGATATGTTGTAAAGGTGACAAAATGATGAAGGGCACGCGTAAAGAATTGAAGGTTATTTCCTACGTTTTGCGCCCGACAGTGCGCGAAGCCAACAAAGGCCCCGACAACATTAGTCTGCGATCGACTGTGCACCGAAGCGCGTGGGAAGCTGACAGGATAATACCGTGGCGATCAGCATCAGACCAAGAACTTCTGAGCAAGAACGTTAATATCCAGCACGCGCACAAGACAGGGCTTCGAGGGAAGAACGGGAAAATCTCTACATGAGTCCGCATAAACGCTATCCCATGAACAAATGAATTACGGATGCAGTGACGCAACCTACACAATTTGTAGCTCGACGCAACTCAGCGACCCAATGAAGCGCTCGACTAACACTGATGTAGACCAGATCTCCGAACTCAGGGACCCAGTTTAAGTATTCATGGTCGTCGAACGAGGTCACCATCAATTTCTCCGAGTCAGCATCTCTAACTGAGCTGTCATCTTCAATCTCGATTTGTGGCTCTGAAAACAACCCGTCAGTCACCAATGGAAACGGCCCGCCCCGGAATAAAACGTAAAGGGAATAGAATAAAACAAATTAAATCAGAACAGAAAACGGGACGATAATGTCTGTTCGACCAGAGTCACTCACCTATGAGCGGAACGCTGTCGGAGGTCTCTGGCATCTTCTCGGCGATGGCCAGCATGAAGACGCTGAAGGCGAGCAGCACCGTGACGCCGAGGCCGATCTTCTCTCCGCTCTCGGGCGGCATGCAGAACACCAGCAGCGTCAGCACCGACATCATCATGCACGGCAGCACGATGTTGTACATGTAGAACAGCGTCTTCCGCCGGATGATTAGAGTGATTGTGACGTCAGGGAACGGCTCCGGACAGCAGCTGTGACGTCAGAACGGGTGACGTCAGATGTGTCACACGAACGGAGGAACACTGAACATCGACTGAGCTCAGATAATGGCGTAGTCAGACATTAAATGTGATATATCGAACGACCGTGGAAGTGAAGGCAGAGTTCGATGTTTGATGGCTTGGCGAGATAAAACATCAGCGGTGAGTGCTGGCCTGCGAAAATAAAATCCGTTTACAAAACGGATACATATTTATGAGGCGAGTCGCCTGTTGCAGGTTCAAACAGAAGAACTTGGATATTTCAAACAAGTTCTTGGGTGAGTTTTGAACAACAAAAACGAATATATCTTAGCAAGCAATAAACAAGGGATAGGTACTGTTAGTTCTTTGCATAGTGAACAGCGATCAAAAATCGGAAAAACATGCTCTTTATTTATTTTAGCTTATTGCCTTTAATGGCTCAGTGACTTCATTAATTGAATGTTGACAACTTATAATTATTCTACAACATACTTTATCTATGTCATGAAGTTATTTGTGTGTGGCTATTTCAAATTAGTCGCTCTGCAATGGCATTGACCTGAGCGCTGAGATGACATATTTTTACCAAGCCCTTTAAAAGACATTTTGAAAAACGACTTGTTGAAGAATATAATATATATTGACGAAAATGAATATCACTAAGAGTTGGTAGCAGACTGCTCAAAGAGACAGCTGAAGTTATGGACACATAAGAAAGATCAATTCGTACAACATTTTTTTTTTTTTGCTTTGCAGAATACATTAGGCCCGCTCAAACAAGCTCATCAGTTTCGTTGGTTAAACGTTAAATTTCAATCCGGAACTAATCCAAATGTTATAAGCGTGAGCACAACATCCGGCATTAAGACAGATTGCGCGATATTCCCAGAATCCTGCAGGTCTTCCCGGCTGATATTTCAACTCTGATTTAGCTGCAGCGTGTTCTCTGCAGCAGTGGAGGGGAATCCTCCAGCGCGGCGCTGCTCTGAGGCCAGTGTCTGTGTCAGACGATGCCCGGAGCTCACCTGTAGTAGACGACGTTTCTGTTGATGCGCGCCTCCAGCAGCTCCCACTCGCCGTTAGGGATGTAGTTGGTCAGGTCCACCTGCTCCGTTCGGTTAGTCACGTCCACCTGCACACACACAGGGCGCCAGTGTCTCAGGGTAAGCTCAGCGGGTCACCAGTGGCAACACGGACTCACCGCGAACTTAGCTGAAATTCGATAGGTCACGGCACTGATAAATTGAGTTCGCTCGTTAGTAAATCGCCAGCGTATAAGGTCATGCAAGCAAATGGCGCGACAAGTTGATATAAAGCAACCATCTGAGCTGTAACTGCAAATAGGCAGCGGGGTTCGATTCGCAGCGTATCGCGACCGCAATAGGCGTGGGTGTTACTGATTAGCGAATGCGCTGCTGTTACGACGAAGTTAGTTAGAGTTACCAGAAAATATGTACGTACACACTACACATCAGCGTCTCATGAGGAGAAAAGACGCAAATAAATATGATGTGCAGCTTTGTTGCATAAACTTATAAAATAAGCTTTGTTCGATTAGGACATTGTGCGAGGGCTTGTTATGCAAAAAAATAACAAATATTGTTACTCAGAGTCATACAGTGAGGTCATACAGCGCATGCAGGCCAGGAGATATGAGATGACCACGCCATTATGTAGCCCAGATCGCCTTGACAAGTAATGTCACTGATATTTCCAATTCTCAGAAAATACACTATGAATATATCAGCAGAGAAAAACATCCATCATTGAGTGACACTGGATACAGGGCTGGCTCATAGGTCACATTTTCTTTACATTTCTCCGCAGAATAAGGCACTGGAGATCATTTGGATCGGACAGATTGACTGCGAGGCAGGCCTCATCGGAAGTCGGCACATCATGCTGCCAGCATATTTTCGCAACGGCCTGCTGCTGCGCGAAAAGCAATAAGACAGAGCAACGGAAACGGCCGCTCACTCTGAAGAGCAAAACAGATCGGTCTCCTTTGAAAACGCGTTCAGAGAATATTATTCAAGCGGCTTTGTGCTCCCTGTATGGCGGAGGCGAGTCTTCCGGCGAGCAGGCCGCCTCTAATGGCGCCGACTGCTGCTGCAATGGATGAGGGAGAGAGAGAGGGAGATAGGGGAGAGAGGAGTCGTGCTGAGATGTTACAACACTGTCCAGTGTCCACGCCGGGCGGCCGTCAGACAGCGGCTGGCGTATTTGGCGGCCCGGTCCGGCCAAGGTCGATCCGTTTATCAGGATCGCGACATGGACAGATCAATGGGCCATCTCATTCCGAACAGTGGTGGTCCGGCAGAGCCGCTGGATGGGCGCGGCACTGAACCGACAGAAATGTACCTTTTGTGTCACTGAAACTAACACAGCGACGTCGAGCGTCGGGCGCCGTCCAGTGTTAACGCAGAGACGACGGAGGTTTTATATCGAAACGGCGATGGAGCTGAACTGCACAATAGCATCATCCAGTTGGATTAAAGTGGGCAAACTGTCACTAAATAAAAGCAGGTCAAGCACATGAGGAGAACAGAGATAAGGATCGACGATGGTAGTGGATGTTCCAGAATTTCTGGTGGCATCAGAATATACCTGAGCAACAGCTTGAAGAAAAAGCTTGCTCCGCGCAAGGGATGTTGTTTGTTGTTTGATGTCGTTTGTTTTAAAAAGGAACTTATTACCAGTCTCAAAGAAAAAAGTCAATCATTCAGCAATGAAGTGTTTTGCTTTAGAGCAAAGATGACGAGCTGAGCTGAAAAAATTGATTATTTGGAGTCTTGCCAATACATCAAACTTCGTTATGCATTCATTTAAGAGAGAAACGTAAATGTTTCTCATTTAACTTGAAATTGAATGAGATATTTTCAAGTCTGCACTTTTCTCAACACCAATTTGCCCTTCCCTCTAAAAAGCCCCGTTTGGCCGTGTCTGACCCAGAGCACCCCATCGGCGTTAGCGCCTCATCAGAAATTCATTGAAATGTGGAAATCGTCACATTACTGGCATCCTACAGCCGACCTCCAAGTGTTTTGCATTAAGGAGGAACGAAAATTTGCATAGCTTTAGCACCCTAAAGTGACCTTAAAATTAACCTTTCGTTACTGTATAGCTAGTGGTGCATTTTGATATAAACATCATTAGGTACAAATTAAGATGAATGAATGGGTGGAGCTACAATTATGCGGACCGCAGTATGCTATGACGGCGTGCGAGCCCAGCAATCGATATCACTGTTCATAGATGGCGCTGGTTCCGCGCGCCTGAAGGTAGGCTGTACCGCAACGCGCGCTTCTACTGCCCGCCCGCGGAAGTGGCCGTCATCGGTCTGACTGCGGAGATCCTGATCGAGCGGCACCTCACCTGGAAGCCGTTGTAGGTCCAGCTGCCCAGTTTGAGGATGCACGTCTGGTCGTCGAACGGGAAGTAGGTGACATCCACGGCGCACGTGGACCGAAACTTGGTGGGCGGCGGCCAGAACACGCGCCCGTTGTGATGGACCATCGCCTTGCTGTTCATGTAGCCGCGTGTGTAGTCGTCGGCACTGCAATAGCAGGAGAGCAGGTGACCAATTTAAGCATTGACAATGCGAGATGAATAGTTAGTTTGAACAAGGCTACGTTGAGGACAAAAATGAATTTGAAGTCAGATTTCTGTTTGCACTGGAATGGCTTGATTTCTGCTTAAATTGTACAATTCCAACCTTCTGAATATTTCATTTGTCATCAACTACACGTAGAATGTAATACCTCCTCCACGGTCGAGGAACATAAAAGGCTTCCTGGTGTTTTCCTGAGCGCAGGAAATTATCCCACTTTGTAGATGCCGCACTTCGCAGAACTACTCGCTAGAGCGTGGCAAAGTTCCGAACAGCGATGCATCAGAGGACACTCACAAACAACGCGTCTAATTCTATTATTTACTGAGCGTCCCAGCTCAAATTTTATCTCTTCCATTTGCATTTCAATCGATGGTGAGCTTCTCAGCGCTCCTTAGCACATTGAGAGCGAGCTGTCAGCTCCAGACGGATCTGCCCCTCTCCCCTCCCGGCCCGTTCGGCAGAGACAAGTGACACAAGCAGCATGTCCTTCCCCGGGTGTTCTTTGTTTCTCGCGGCCGAGTCGGACAATGGCCCTGTCACGTGGAGGGCTCTCTGCTGTTCAGTTTCAGCCGGAGAGGTCAGCGCTGAACCTCTCCCGCAGCTGCTGCGTTGGTGTCCGGTCGGCGGCTGCCCCGGTCGGCGCCAATGACCCGGCTAAATCACACCCGCCCGGCCCTAACGAGCGGCGGCCGCGCCAGCTGCGTCCGGTCCGCAGCAGCCCGCAGCAGCAGCCCGCGAGAGGCACCGTGGGAGGGGAGGGTGATATCACGGAGCACCAGCCGCTGCAAATGGCACGCGTTCCGGGAAGCTAATTACATTCATTACGTGATCTAACGCACTATAATTAATATTCCTGTCAAATGTAGTTACCCGGCCTAACTGATCACACTGCAGCACAAATATGAAACCCAAAAGTTGTTTAGGCCAATAATATCACTGACTTTTTATAATATTTATTATCAAGTACTACACAGTGCAATAGAAGACTTTTTCCTACAACGCTGAAAGCTGGATGCAGAGTTCTGCATGTATCTTGCTTCAGCCCGCAGCGTTTCTGTTCCACAGTGCGGTTTGCCAGCGGTCGGTGCGGCCAGAGACCAGCCGCGCGGTCCACCACGGCGCGGCTCTATCGGTGACCACATGGCGCCCTCCGCACGCCGCCGGCCGGATGGGACAATTGTAGCGCGCCGCCAATTGATCTGGCGCGCCGGTGGTCGGCATGGAGGAAACGATAAGGCGAGCCCGGTCTGATGCATGGCGCTGGTCCGTGAGGGAAGAGAGAGGTCGGCGGCAGGAGAATCGCGATGACCTACCAGTGGTCATTGGTCAAAGGTCAGCGGCAGGAGCATCACAAAGACTTCATGATGGTCTGCTGTCAGAGTGCCGCACTTAGAATCGCAATATTTACCATGCAGTCGTGGTAGAAGTCTCAGTGACACCAAAGAGATTTTCTGTAATAATTGACCATGACAACCATGCTGAAAAGATGTCTTTATGCCTTATTGTCAGCCGGACGGGCTTAGTGCCTACTATAAGTAGTTAGTTGGGCTCTTTTCAGAGATGTAGTTATTGTCACAAGTGAACTTGAAATAGAGCACCTAACGGCTAACACAGATATTTAGGACCTAGTGTAAGCTGATCACAGCTGAGGAGCTGATAATGACTAGCTTGATGTGAATAAGATGCATCGATTATTTACAAAATCTGTTGTTTCTTTTTACTTGGCGGCTGAAGTTATTGTATTATTTTGTTGTTGTGAACGAGAATAGTTAAGAAACAACCCAATGCATTAAACAGCTGATTAAAATCTCCCATGCACCACTGAAGGAAAGTCTTCAAGCTCATGCTCATCTTCCATAGATCAAGATGAACAATACATGACGCCCGCACCCCCCTGGTCCAATATCTTCATATTACATTAGACAGGTATTAGGTATACAATAGTATGCTGATTTGCTAAGATGAATAATTCTAACCACCTTTTCATCATGCTAGTTGCCTATGTTGTCAGACTGCTCTTGTTGGCATATTTGTCTAGGTATTCACTTCGATTCTTAATTTATCTAATTATGGATTTCCTAGAATATCGCAGCATCGCTATCAATTTTGTGTTTTGTGCATTCCAAAGCACTATGTCATCAAGATCGGTCCACAAATTTCACTGCACATAAAAAGCATTGCATGTGGAGACTGTGAGTGTGGACTTACTTGTTGTAAAGGACGATGTCAGGTAACCAGATCTTCTCACATGGCACCCTCAGCTCCTTCATATTACCAAATTGGCTGGGATCCCACGTTAAAAGCTCATCCGTCCATTCCTGGGGAGAAATGAAGAAATACCTATATAAAGTCACTAGCGTATTAATCAAAAAAAGAAAAGAAAAACTTCAGATCAGTGATGGATCACCAGACGTTGAGCAGACTGCTCCAGACAGCTGTATCCATGCCATTGGGCAGCTCGATGCACTTGATTTCACCTGCGGTCCTGGAAGCTTCTGAAGCAGCTGATGAGTTGCACAATGTATATGACGCATCGTATTACTTGAAAACCTTTAGGATTCTGCTCAACATTCTGCGATGTATATGACTTTTCGATGACAAATGGTGGGGAAGTAGAGCTTGAGTAAAAATCAATTAAAGGTTAAAGTGAGGACGAAAAGTTATATTCGTTGAATAAACCAGCTGTCAGTTAGGGAATATAGCTCTCCTTACCTGGTCAAGCCAAACGTTTGTGGTTAAAACTTGGTTCTTCTCATCCTGAAAAGCGAGAAAAACATATGAGAAAGACATGTTCTAACAGTAAAAATTACGATAGTTAATGGAGTTGTAGTGGACACGTGGAATCAGTACTCAATGCAAGGCCATATGACCACTCAATGAAGTGACCACTTTGTCAGCTGTCCATGTAATGCAACTTCTACGGCATGATAAAACTATTTGGGGCCCACAGTAAATAGTTAGCAAGAGCAGTAATATAGAATCATCTATGTCACTGAAGTAATATAAAATCATCAACCAGATGGTAAAAAGACAGCTTCCACTCTCCCAACCACTCGACATTCGCCAAGAACGCAGACTTTTCATGCCATCTCTGGCGAGAGAAAAACAAGCCAGTGTCGTTATTTCCCAATTTCTGAAGTTACACTCATGCATACGCAACTGTCACGCGCTCTGGAAACTATGCCTGTTAATGTCACATAACGTTTCATTTCAGGTGGCTATTTATTTGGTGGGAAGCACGCTGTAATTAGCTCTATTTTCCGGGATTATCCCTTTACACGCGGCGGCCGGCGGCCGTCGGCTGCAGCCGTTCCGCAATTTCCTGTCGTCGTGCTATTGAGCCGACAGGCGCTATCTGCACGGTCGTTTCTGTCTGTTCGTTAGCCGGTGCTGACACGGCCAAACTGGACGCCGCGGCGGCGCCCCCGCATCGGTTCGGCACGGACGGAGCGCTTGCAGTTCGCGGATTGAGGCGTGTGGGTCGGCTCGATGTGTCGCATTAATTGGCTGTGAGCAGAGCGTTCAAATAACGAGCTGCGGTGCTAGAGACGCCACGGTTGCCGGAAAAGAGTCCGGGCAATAAACACAGGTATTTGCACGACAGCTGGATATTACCAGAAATGTTCGGTAAAGAAGCAAACGGTAATTGAACGTCCCGGGCCGTTACGGGGTAGCATGTCATCAGTGCCAAGGCTGTGCGATACCGACGGATACTGGTGAATAAAGCCGGAGACATCAGTAAGCATTAGCGATACGGAGATGACGGGAGACCGGTGATATCCATACAGTCCAACGGAGGACGACAAAATGCCAAAACCAGACGTTCTAGGCGGCGCTAATGTCACGCACATAACGCGTCGACGCGTAATGCGTCTTCTGAGACCTCGTCCTTTATTGGATCGCCGGGTCCGCTGGAACTGAGACTTATAGTCGGGCCGGCGCTGCTGAGTGAACCGGGCGACTGAGTCCGGCGGAAACCGGCCGGAAATCTGTCGTATGGAGCAGACAGTCCGCCGGGACAGCGCCAGTATATCCAGCTCTGAAATGTCGCCGCCGAGGCCAATGTCAAGTCAATCACGTGGCTGAAAGTTATCGCCTTTTGGTAGGTTTGCATGCACGAGTTACTTCCTTTAGCTTTCCCGGACAGCACTTGTTGATGGATAAAGTCTTAAAGCCACGAGAATGCTGATGTTTCACGTCCCGATGACAAAGCTTCTTTCCAATTTCGACACACAATGCTATTTTGTGTGCCCAACTAAAATAATGCATACAAATGCATAGCGATTAAACATAAGATAGACCTCATAGCCGATGATTAACTGCTCGTTAATTTTACTCAATATGCGTCGAATGAAATATAAGATAGTTACATGTATGTAACTGCAAGAAATCGTAGTTATGATCATTTACTTCAACAAACAAATCGTAGAAGTAATGCGCTTATCCTAACACTCTAGGAGCCATTCGATTTAACAGTGCTCCTGAGGACACTAGCCCCGTTAGTGCTATCGGTTTCCATGGGAACCTAGCATGAGCTATTGAAGCAAAGATCAACAAAGGCAATATAACGCCATTCGGTGGCAAATTGTCACAAAAAAGAGCGTCTACTAATTGACAATCCCCAATGGGACTGACAAAAGGGAGGCGTATGGAGACAGTCCGGTACAACTATGCGCTGACGAACACTAACACTACTGGCATTGATCTGTCAAACATGAATGGACTGGCTACTGGCGGCATTGGTAGCCGGCATTAACCATCGGGCGAACAAGTGGTGTGGGGACGAGGTCTGAACGCGCGCTGGTCAGAGCTGAAGGAGTGGCTGTGTGGAAGGTAAAAAGGGGACATGGCGGTCAGTACAACTGAAATTCGGATGAATCATGGCAGTGACACAATGAACTACAGACTACAGAGTATTGCTAAACAATAAAATCAGGTCAGAGACACATTGGTATGAGGCGTCGGTAGGAGGTTGAGAACTCAACAGCGAGGGCTTGCTAGGAGCCGTAATTTGACGTCGATTGATGTTTAGATCAGAGTGAGTCCTGCCCACAGCAAGCTATCAGCCGATATCCGGTAGATCAAGACAACGCTATCGTTATGCGAACAGCGGCGTTATCTTCACAGGGTGACCGAGTGGTAACCACCGGGACGCTGCCAACAGAGCGGAAACGACACCTGCAGAGGAGCCGCCTGTGGCCGCAGCCGGCTGCAGAGAGCTGCGCGGTCCTCGCTGTCAGGCACTGATGGACTGTGTGGTGCTGATGGCCCCGGTACTGGACGCCATCAGGGAATCAGTGGGTACAGGACGACAGGAACAGCGGGGGACGCGGCGGCGGAACCGTGGGGCTCTGGAGGTATTGTCCCCACAGCCGAGGGTCGGGTGCCCAGAGGCGCTGACTTACGGGCTGGATCACAGGTTATACACTTAATGCTCATACAGAGACGCTGAAGTGATTCAGATGCAGTTGATCAGAAGCACACGTGAGCAAGGAGGCCCTATCACGTGAGGATTATGGGACAGTTCGGCTCCAGCGAGTCACGATGGCAAGGAATGTAGTCTCCTAATGCTGCATGAATAAAGTGGTCTTATAGGAACGCAGAGAAGGACTATATGTATTTAGCTCCTCGTGCAAGTTCGGGATGGCAATCATGCAAACTAATCAAATTGCTGCACACATTAAACTTTGAATGCATGACAAAGCAAATGAAATCGGAACCAATGCCGTTATGTAACATCAGCCTATAGTTCTAAGAAGCATTTAAGTGGCTTAAAACGAATATTTATAATAGCTCAAACAAGAAAAAAGAATATATTTAATGGAATAACCTTCTGTTCAAAATTCTAAAAATTGCCAAAAGTTACCAAAAACACTTGAATATATTTCGGAGGCGTTCCTTCATCGGTTCAAGTGATAAACATTTATAGCGCCACATTTGCCGTTAACATATCTGATCCATGTTTTTTAAATATAAATCTCGCGTCTAGGTTGAGATGTGTCTTCTAATTTACATCGACAGAATTACCTTTACAGCGTACGAACAAAATTAGCTCCTACACTTAACAGGTTAATAGGTCATAATGTTGATACTATTCACACTTACAATGTTAATAGGTTACAATATAGGGGGAGAGAATTTCAAGAAAAAAGAATTTCATAAAGATGAAAGACACGAAGACTGGTGTGTGTATGAAAAGAACGGTACGCAAAAAGAGATTACTTCTTTTACTTAATTCAAATCAATAATGTAGGTACTTCCAGAAAATCGCAATAACTTTGCTGGCAAACATCGGTACGCAATAAGCAACAAGCGTTCACGTTGTCTGCGGTAAACAGTGATCAAAGTTCAATAAATGCCCGGGGAGCCGCCGCCGGCTGGTTGGCCGAAGTCAACAACAGACGCGCTCGGAATTGGCGGAACAAGTTGGGCTTTGTGAACTGATCAATGGCAGGATAACGTTATATTACAACTGATGGCGCCAGCCGCTCCGGCCAACAAAGAAATCACATACCTTTTTTATAAAGCCTTGGTACATGTACCGTATGTAGACGCAAAAAAGGATCAGAGCAGAAAGTATGTATGTATACTTACTTCAAATTTCTTTTGAGGTGATGGAATAACTTCGAATTTTAAGTTTTTAGCTGATTGGATATGTTCTATATGAGTGACAAAGAAGGCAAGTACCATCCTTATTGCTCATGCATGCATGTGCACTGTGCAGTGTGTACCTACACACATACAAATTAGGTATACATGTATATGTAGGTCCACTGTCTGCATCTTGAGAAAGCGGCGCTCCATTCCCACCAGCTTCACTGAGAAGATGCGCTCTCGCACAATCATGTACGTATTTCATCTACATTATTGTACCATATAAATTATGCAGGCTGCGTTTCGCCTACACCCTACGGTCCGACAAAGCAGGCCGCAATAGCTGCTCAAAGACGGACCTAAAGGCACTTCAGTGCCGCTCACTCGGTGTGGTAACTCCCCAAAGTGCCAGCCGACATTGGCAGCCCGCTGAACACGCGTGTTCGGTGGAGCACGCGGGGGCGAGGTTGTTACCGATAACGGACTGTGTGGTAGCAACAACTACCGCGCAACATGGGCTGAGGGAGGGGAGCGCAACAACCGCAACAAATAATGACTGAACCAGATTGCGAGTATCCCGACACCACCTTTTGTTATTTAAGCAATTTGGTCAGAATAACTGAGTGCTGGGTCGCTGAATAGGATCAGATTGCAATACGATCCGGTACCTACTCAGAGCTCGTTACGTAATGACGCTACCGATACATCAGCCGACATTATCCGCTCCCAATCTCCGCTGATATTTTCATTCGAAAATTAATTTTACCTTGGGTAGGTTGTGGCATTATCGGTCTCCAGCACCGAGTAGATAAGGTTTCCAGCAACGAGTATGTAGTTTCCACGCGGCGACTGTCCTTACTCTCACCCTCACTCGAATAAGGCAGGTCGCACTAGGTCAGAGTCAGTCTGACAGCTCTGGATCGCTCTGACATCTAACAGCTGAGTGTATTCAGGGTTTCATCTAAACTACTGGTCGCTGAAACAATCTTATTGTGACAGCAGCACAGCGTGGAGCTCTCCGGTTTCGCCTGGCAACTGACCTAATATTTTATTTTTCAATATAGCTCTCCTAATAGGAGAAATGCCGCTGAAACTAATGTTTGTCTTGTCGCTCACCATGTCGAATATCTGCGTCAGCGTGATGCCCAGCTGGATGATGACCGGGTCGGAGGCGTTGAACACGGGCCGCACGTCGCGGTCGTAGTCGCGCACAATGAAGTCCATCAGTCGTTTCTCGTAGCTGTTGTTGTGCCGCGGGTCGTACGGGACGCCGCTCTGGCCTGCGGGAGGAGCGGGGAGGGTCACAAATCAAACCACCAGCGCTGACCTTCCTCACGGGTCTCCGACGGACGCAGGTCGCCACCAGGGTTGTGCTCGACTCAAAAAAATTTGCCGACTCGACTCATCATTCAACTTCAGAAAGCCCTGACTCAACTCTGACTCAAACAAGGAGCTGATTTTTTCCCTTGACTCGACTCATGACTCAAGCGGCTCAATGAAAATATGAGTCGACTCAAACTTGACTCAATTTTTTTGTTGAGTCAAGTAAGTTGACTCAAAATTGACTCAGATAAAACAGTTGTTGAGCGGGGCGGGGGTGAAAAAAAAAAAATCCGGCAGCAGGGCCAGGGCAAAGTTGTTAAGCGGGGTGTGGGGATGAAAAGCTTGTTTCTAGAAAGTTGAGTCAGCTGACTCATTGTTTGACTCAACTCGATGTCAAAATTATTTTACTGACTCAACTCTGACTCAACTCAACGCCTTAATGTTTTTGTCCGACTCAACTCTGACTCAACTCAACAGCTCAACATTTTATCCGACTCGACTCAAATCTGACTCATTTGAGTCAGAGTTGAGTCAAATTTCTGACTCGACTCATGAGTCAAGCACAACCCTGGTCGCCACCGACCAACGTCACTCGGTACGATAAAGTGGTGCTCGGGGCAGCAGGAGATGCCGATCTCTGTGAGTACCTATGTCACCTTTCAAGCATGCAAATGTTGATGCACAGGTGATCAACACTAAATCGTGCCTGTCTCGTACTTGCATATTTTTTCCCGTTGCTGGATAAATTATTGCAATAAGCAGAATTTTAGATATACCTAATGTAGGATGCACTAACATCTGAGACAATTCACAGAAAGTATGGCGCCAACACGTTTATTAATATGAAATACACCCAAGAACTTTTGTTGCTGGGTCGTCTTAAATAACATGCAGTATGTGTTTAAAATTCATAACGTCATAAATCAGCATCATCATTAGATAGACACGCGCTTTGTTTAAGCCCTCCGTCCGTATCCGCGAGAAGCCCCGGGCGGCGGGCGATGGCGTGCAGGCGGGGACGGGAAGCCATTCTGGCCCGCTGCATTACCGAACAGTGAGCCTCCACACTTCCTTACAGCGCCGGCATTGAGCGGTGACACCAATGGTTCACCGACAGCGCCTCTGTCGCACGTAACTTCACCCCCCCCCCCCCCCACCGGGCGCGCAATGGGAGCGATACTCTGGCGACAGCCCCTCCCCCCGGGACTGCGGGGCGCGAGGAACTTTGGCAATCAGTGTGCCGGCGGAAGTGAGCTTTGCGGGCCATTTCGGCAGGCAGAGGTGGGCGCGAGCCGCCGGCGGGACGGCCGAGCAGCCAGAGTAGATCGGCGATCGTATCGGCGCTGCTGTCCAGAGACCGGAGATCACTCGCAGATCGGCGACGTCGCGAGCCACGCAGCAGAGGACGGGGAGGGAGGGGGCGGCCAGGGGCGGCGCCGCCCCCGGGTTGGACAGAGTGGCCGCCGCACGCCGGCCAAAGATGAGAGTCTCATGTGTGAGAGTGTGTGTGTGTGAGGGATGATCAGTAAGCCCTGGCTGCAGAGTGGTCGCGGAGGCGGCAGTGGTGCTGTGTGTGTGTGTTTGTGATCAGCATTTGGCGCTGAGAGCGAGGAAGAGGGAAGACGTGCGCTATCTCGGAGAGGAGGCGGCACACGCAGGAGAGCGGCCTCGCCAGCAGCCGGCCGTCTGCCATCAGGCAGCCAGAAGTGCCTTGTTGTGTTCTGGACAGGGGGTGCAGGTCCGGCAGCCCGTGAGACGTTTGCCAAAGCACTAAGCCCATCCACTTTTTATAAAGACTTCTTGTTCGCTGTATCTATTTGTTATTTCATTTGAATGGATAATTTTGCCAAGTAACCATTACCAACAATGACTTGAGTAGTACCTGGACATGCGGCTCTGTTTCTATTTTGTGCGGATAATATGATGCAGAGACACGAGATAATATAATAAAAGACAGCGACAGATAAATAATGCAACGTCTTACTCTGCGTTAGGACCTGTTTTTATCGTGGTGGGTTGGACTTCAAAGAAATGTAGCGAGTGTACATACGCAGTGATGAAAGGCCTATTCGTGGTCCCTCGCGTTGAGCGTTGCCGGTCTACGCCTGAAATGTGTGCGAGCATGGAGGCTTGACGGACGAATGCAAGACGCACTTAGGTGTTTTTAAAAGGATCCGGGTAGAAGGCCTATTGTTTCATTGTGACTGAGATTAAAGATTTTCGTAAATGTTTCAGCCGAGCCGAGCGCAGGGAACGAAAATGCTTTTGATATTATGCATATGATGCTCTCAACAGCTCCCAGCGTAATTCCCTCAGTCAGTCTTTTTTTAACTAAAATGCTGCAGCTAAAATTCATATGAAAATCAATTATCATAGAGACAATGATAATGGTTGCTTGTTAAGATCAATGCATAAAAAATCAAAGTAGAAATTAACATGAGAGGTTTGAAGAGAATATCACATAAAATCCTTCACTGGAGGTGAAAAGCACACAATTAAATAAAACAGCGAAATAAAACCATAGTGTAATTTATTACACTATGAAAAAACCATCGCCATGACAAGCTATTCCTGCTAAGCGAACCAGAGAAAAACCTGCATTGGAGGCCGGAGCTACAGCTGATGACTGTTGCAACTTATCTAGTTTTCAGAAAAATGTAACAAGACTTGTTATGTTTGAGAACATATTAGCTCGCAGCCAATAAAAGGACACGATGACGCTAATTGATCGTTAACTGTGTCTGACAGACGCACAGCGCAATTCCGTTGCAAAACATTTGTGAGAGGCACAGACAATTGGTATGGCCATTCAGCCAAAGTTCTTTGCTATAGAGAAAATCAGCAGCAACAGGATGGAAAACAATTACTTGTTTGATGACCAATTACCTGCGAGAAGGTCGTTAATGATTGTATTTTCAACGTCCACGTTACACAAGAACTTTCCATAGCGACGATGTAACCCCCCCCCCCCCCACGCCGGCTAAATGTGATATCACAATAAGCTGGCGCCGTTTCCGCCCTCTCAGTGAGACAGTCATCATAGCAGCTCGCCGGGCCGCGCATACCATTCGTCTTCTCGGTCGTTACGGCCCTGGGCGCGGCCGGGTTTTTCCGCATCCCGACCACCAACCCAATCCCGTCAGCCATTGTCTCCAGATACAACAGCTTTCGCGCTTCGATTCGGTTGGTATGCGACCGAGTCGGAGGCCGCGGTGGCTGGTGGCCGGCGGCGGCATGTTATTTGGTTACGGCGCCCGCTGAACGACCGGCCGACAGCGGCGAGACATGCAGGTCACACGCGCCCGAGGAGGTGCAATCAGCGCCGCTGCCTGCCTTCATCGGACGGTGACCGACGTATGTACCCCGGCGCCCGCGGCCGACTCTACGAGCATGGCATGATGACAGCGGCGGCCGCTGGAACCACCACTCGAGAGCTCTACGCGCCGACCACGGTAAAACGCCGGAGGAAGACAAGTGGTTCATCTTCACGGAAGTGACGCCGAGGAGGCCTTACAGCTGAGTCTTTGTATTTGACGTGTATAATCCGGGATCTATCTGACTGGGTGCTGAAGCTCTTAAACAGCAGCGTAAGTACGCACACCGTTGACAGTTGACACAGGGCTCCTTACACAGTTGCAGGTATACGCTCAAATCTGCTGTTGCAACTGTTTCGACTTGGAACACTTCGCGAGAGGGCAGAGTTCTGCTGTTTCCGTCTCAACCAGCCGGAGTGGTCAGAATATTAAGGCAATAGGGCCACATACGCTGAGTTTCATCCAAAGTTTCAGAAACAGTGCCCTGTACCACACTTTGAAACCCACGCTCCATGAAAAACCCACGCCCCATGAGAGCGAAGAAGATGGAGCACTGAAGATCAACAACTGTCATGTCTAAAAATGATCATATACCTAAGCGTAAAAATAACGTCTTAGCAATCAGTGTTTATAAGATGATATACAGGGTGACATAAAAAACTGTCATCACCAAATTTCGAATAACTTCGGAAGTTTTATTCAGATCATCGCCAAACTTCGGCCACTTAAGGTCACACCTATGTAGCATACATCCATCAAGTTTGAAGTCTTCACTACGAATACTTTTAGTACAGTGTGTGTTTTACTGACGCTCCACAATGTGCTCCAGGTGAGCGCCACGGCGCTGCAGGGCGTAGGCACACTTGCATCCGGCGGGCAAAGTTGTCGATAACCCGATGGCTGTGCACTTTACAGAGTGCATTGGCCTCAGGAGACAGTGCTCAGGGGGTGTGCTACCCCTAAAACGTTATTCTTATCGGGTTATCGGCAACTTTGCCCGCCGGATGCAGGTGTGCCTACGCCCTGCAGCGCCGGGGCGCTCACCTGGAGCACATTGTGGAGCGTCCGTAAAACACACACTGTACTAAAAGTATTCGTAGTGAAGACTTGAAACTTGGTGGATGTCTGCTACATAGGTGTGACCTAAAGTGGCCGAAGTTTGGTGATGATCTGAATAAAACTTCCGAAGTTATTCGAATTTTGGTGATGACCGCTTTTTTGTGTCACCCTGTATTTCCATTTTACAGTGTGTATGTGTGTTTTTTTTCATCCAGCGGATAAATTGAATTAGGGTTTTGGCATTAGTAAATGTACTAGCTTAGCAAGTAACGAGTTATCGTTACAGTTGTAATTAACAGCACATTTCGATTGAACAATATACACGACCAGAGGAATATAAATTTCCCTTCACCTGCGTCAAAAAAAAATATTTGTTGAGTATCTTCTTATTAAGTTTTTACATCACGGTAGGTAGCTTGCGTATACTCGAGGGCAGCGCTTTTCGAGGAGCGCTGTGGCCCGAAGGTTTGGACTTTGAATTGTGAAAAACGCCCGCCCGCCGGAAAACGCAAACACCGCAAAACGCGCAAAACGCACGCCCGAAACGCCAACGCAAACGTCGCAAAAAATAAACAAACGCCCGC